AAAACACAACAGTCCTTTTACGTCAACAGTAACCAGTGAAACCGATCATTTTGAAGAGTTCTCCTTCTACTGGATGTTTTTTCCACAGGTGTACATCTGTAACATATTCAACTTTATCATAAACCATTTGTGACAAAACCGAAGACGAGAAAATTCATCTCTCCTTTTATTATTTATAATTTTATCTGTGGTTTCATTGTTCTTGTTTTGATTGTAAAGTGTCCTTGAGTGTTTTGAAAGGCGCTTATAAATGAAATTTATTATTATTATTATTATTAAAGGTGGTGACAACATTTTTTTGCGAGTTTTACAACAAACATGCAAACAGTTAAAAAAATGATCCTTGAATGGAGTCTGTATTGAATTGCAACCTGTAGCCTTACGGCACTGGAGTCAAAGTCAAGGCCCGGGGTCCAGATCTGGCCCGCCACATCATACTATGCGGCCCGCGAAAGCAAATCACGCATGTCAAGTTCCATGATGCTTGCTAAAGTCTGAAGCAAAATTTCAAATTGTCATATGTAATCCACAATAACAGTCATTATTCTTGACTTGTGATTCCAAAACTCGTTATTCATCAATTTGTTGTGCGCTGTGTGTGTAATATGTGGATTTATATGGTTTACCAAAATTCATAATGGCCCTCCTAAGGAAACCGTAACCACAATGTGGTCCGCGACAAAAAAGAGTTTGACACCCTTGCCTTCCGGCATACTGCTCAAACCAGTCAATCCAAGGAGCTGATTTACTCACGCGCACATTCAGCAGTGTAGTAACACTACGGTGTCTCCCTGAACTGTCCATGAAAAGATGAGTAACGTCGTGAACCTCCTTTCACAGTGATTAAGATTGCGCAATATTGCTGTGGATGGTGTGTGCTGGCATTCCCTCTTAATGGATTAGACAGCATTTGTAAAAGCTGAGGAAATGCCCCCCCAGCATGAACATGTGGCATTTTCCCAAAGTGTCAGGAACACGCTAGCCTAAATGATGGTGCAACACACACACACACACACACACACACACACACACACACACACACACACACACACACACACACACACACACACACACACACACAGACTGTGTACAACTGTCTTGGAGGGACTATTCGCTCAGTTGCCCTTCCAGAATGTCGAATGTGGACAGCGCCCACAATTCATTTGCGGCACTCTCTGTTTTATGTTCCGCGAATGCCCTCAATTTTTTTTTCCTCTCTCACTCTCTTATTTGTCCTCCCTTTCCTGCCCCTTTTGTTTCCATCCCCTCTTGGCCACTTGCTCTCCCTGCCAGCCAATTGGCAACCGTCGTCTCCCACTCCTTTCGTTATTTGTTTTCCTCCCCTCAACACTCATTATTGTTTGCTCTTCCCCGAGTCATTGTTTTCCTCTGACAATCAGACCTTTGTTTCGAATCCTCCTTTTACTGTATGTGCGAGGGACAGCGTATTTGGGTTTTGTGTTTTTGTTTTGTTTTTTTTCAACCCCACACATGCAGCCGGTTGTGTCAAAGCTGTAGCCTTAGTCAAAGTTGCCCAAAATTATCTTTTAGCAAAATTCTCCTGAATACATCGAAATTAGTTAAAGTGTTTGTTTATTTAGTCCACACGCAATCTATGTCCTGAAAGTCCGGACATGATACCTTTTCCAACTGGTGACTATATTTGTACAACACATGCACATCTTTCCTGAGATGATGCCTGCAACTGTTTTTTTCTTTTTCCAAAATCAATGTACGGGTGCATTTCAAGTGACACATTGCCGAGAAGACATTTTACATTTGCAAATTAATCAGAAAGATGTCACTTGAACCATACCATGTCAATCCAGCTTGACGTGTTTTGAATATGCACCCATTTTTTTTCACGTGAGGAAACGTGTTGGAACATGTGACTGATGACACAGTTTGGATATATATATTGTGCTTGGGAAAAAGAGAAAAACCCTGATGCAATCTGAAATGCTCAGATATTTAGAGGTGCAACAATTAATCGACAACTGGGGACCAATCAATAATTTTGACATGTTGTATAACTTCCAGTTGTCCAAATCCACAGAATTTCATCTTCTCGACAGAAGATTTCTGTCGTTCCTCATGAAAGCTAAATTTTTATGGTTCGTTTATTTTTTGAGTAGCTACCTCGTACTGTTTTTTTCAAAGAAATGCCATACAGATTTTAATTTGTGGCAAACAAAAACTTTATTTGATATTTTTAACATTAAAGGAGATTTATTCACAACTGAAAACCGTTCTCAGGCATCTTAATAAAATGTCTGTGACACGTTTTGGTCAAAATACGAGCCGTAATCCTGTACTGCATATACTGCAGCGCTGATGGTCAATACAACTTTGGTTACAAAGACGGACGGCTAGTGAGCATGTTTGGCCGTCTGTACTCGATGCATGTTATGTTAATGTAACGCATGGACACATCAACACAAACAAACTCACACCGCACCCACACCTCCACTGCTTCAACAACTGAATTAAGCAATCAAGAATGTGCCGCTTATCAGAAGCTTACACTGTTAGTTAACACTTCTAGAGCTAATATTTCATTCAACACCTGTTATTGCATCCCCATTGCTGGATAAAACCTTGTTTTTAGACCATCATATCCTAGATAGCATCTGTTCATTCACTCATTTCACAGGAGAAAAAAAAAGATGTAGCCTTGGCAAATGGTCTTTGCTCTCTGAGAGCTTTTGATTGTATAAAAGTACCATCTCATACTTTGATGCTACAGAACCCCCTGAGAATCTTTGGTCCAGTTTTATGTGCTTCATAAATATTTATGAACCATATTACCATTTCTGGAAGCCCCCCATCCTAATTATTCTAGACTACATTTGGGTATTTCTACCCCCCCCCCCAATCCTAATTATTCTAGACAACATTTGGGTATTTCAATGTGGGCTGTCGCTGAAGCAAAAACAACAGCTGAATTTTCGACTAGATTTAAAAATGTCTGATGAGGCTCCTGTCTTGTACATCAGGCATACATAAAAACAACCTACCCTGTCAATTGTGACAGACATGTGAACACGGTTGTCTGGTGTGGATGTTACAACAATCAGATGTGACAGACAGCATTTCAGGGATTGCTTTTTTCCCTCTAAAGCTGGCACGCAGCACCTTGGCCATCAAATGAGACTCTATTCACACATTCAGGTGAAGCGCTATCGATTTCTCGCCTCCGTTCCAATTCCTCGTTTACCACTTGGAAGAGAAATGATCCCGACAGCCTGTCGCAGTCCCTTACTAACTTTCTCCGGCGACATCACTCAGTGTCAGCCCAGGTAACTCATTACAAGAGGTTTGTCCCTCAAAACTCTTTCTCGGCAGGAAAACTCAACGTGTCTCACTAACGAGACAATGTGGTCTCGTCAAATATTGACAGGTTGACGGCCCAATCGATGCAAATTGCCCAGGTTTTACAGCAGGAAATTGAACTTTGTATGCATCAATAAACTATGGATTTTCTCATTTCTATCTCGTTTTGGCCCCACAACAGAATTTTTTGTTTTATGTATCTCTTTATATGTTGTATTAAATATTTTAGTACCTTAACACATGAATCCAAAAATCCAGTTTACAGCACTGTTGTAATCATAGTTTTATTATACTTTGTAGTGAGTACCGTATTTTCTACACTATAAAGCACTTAGGGTTATAAAGCGCACCTTCAATGAAGGGCCTATTTTAAAACATTTTTTCCTATATAGGGCACGCTGCATTATAAGGCGTATAGAATAGAAGCTACAATAGTGGCAAAACTGGTCCCAAACATGGACAGGAAACATATAAATACAAATGGCATTACAAAAGTCAAAAAGGTTCACAAACTTGGTGGGCTCACATCCACAAGGGGCTAAATATCCTTAGAGACCTTGCTTGTCTCCTTCTTCCTTCGTTTAGTCAGGAGTTAACTTTGCTTTTGGTACTATCGTCATTTCATAATGGCTGGGCAGAGCTCACAGTAGTAGTTGTCTGAGTGTGTGTTGGTGAATGCACGTCAATTAGTGTTGGGCAGAACCCTTTTAGGTTACAATTGAATCCTGCTAATAATCACCAATAGATGGCATAGGAACACGAACCGGGGAAACAATTGAATGCTAGAGTGCGGAAAATACCGGACATTTCAGTTTTGCTTCCAATCCCAAATTAAATTCTGACATTGGCTACAACGCTGATGTGCAGTATTTGCTAAGCCAAGTGAATCAAGACAACAGAGTTCATGTTGACTTTAAAGCACAAGCAATTCTCATTCAATATTTATGCTCAAACGGCATAATCTTAATTTGTAACAATTTGTCAGTCTCACAGTATACCGCATAAATTAACCAATCACAAAACAACCACTGAAAATTGCTTCTGGGTTTTGAAGTCGCTGTGTCATTTGCTGTTCTTTGAAAGTGATAATAAAGATTTCAATTTGGCTTGAGCTACTTAAGTTAATTCCGAACCAATATGAGCCAAGAAACAACAATTTTCCGCAGTTAGCCAGGTGGCTTCCTGCTGGGATTGGGGCCACTACTTTTCACGTGCTTCTTCAGTCTCTGCGCCCAATTCACAGCCAATGCATGACTGATGAGGCTTAGGCACTGTAATTGTTTTCATTGCCTGGAATTGGTAAGGTATTGCCTTTAATGTGACCCATCGATCTTTAGTCGGAGGGGAAATTGGTTTTTCTTAGCAGCATTGTAGAGCTCTTAAATCCCATGCAGTCGCCCTTGTTACGCTTGTTACACTCCCCCACATCAGTTTTCTCTCTGATATTACCGATTCTCTCTTCCGTATTCATGTTTTTTTTTGTTTTTATTTTTACATTTCTTCGACACTGAATCTGCCTTTCACTTTCTCTGTCCTGTGTATCTGTTTTAAATTAAAATAGTTCTCTCAATTTGATATCGAATGATATTGCCATGGTACAATTGACGTTGTTAGGCATTCTTTAATGGCCTTGCTTTTTGTCGTTGTTTTTTTTTTTTTAAATTCAGTCGGAGTCGAGAGCCAGTCCCAAGAAAAATCAAGAGGCAGCTGTGGACCTTTTGGGCTTGGGTAAGACATGAGAAACCCTCACACTCTTTCATGAAAAGATTTCCATATCCCATATTGGGACAAAGTGTGATGAGTTTCTGCCTAATGTGGCAGATATGCAAATTGAACCCAAGATGCCAAAATGAGTATTTACAGTTGTTGATTAATTTAGCTGGCATTTGTAGTTGATAGATGTCTGCCATTAGTGAACAGTTGAATGCAGTCAGGATATATGAGTCATGTCGAGGGCTTTTCTTGCATGTTCATGACTTTTGATCTATGAAGAGTGAATATGCTCTGCTTTACATTGCCAGCTTGTATAAATGTGAAAAGGCGTCCCAAACATTCCTCCTGCATCTAGGCAAGCGGCTAATTGTACTGTAATTCTGCACCCCACTTTCCTCCCCATTTCTTAATATATTAGATACCAAAGGTACAGGTACCAAGACAACTAAGGTTGTGATATTTTGTGACCTGGTATGTCAGGCAAGTCTACAAATTGATAGGCAAGTCGATAAATGGTATTAAACGTAGAATTGATTTGTTGACTCCTAAAAGAGCTGGGGTATTGTTGCAGTTTGTCTACATAGACTAAAAAGTTAAAGGGTAAAAAAAATCAAGCCCAAAATGTTCCTTATATGTGGCACCCTGTGTCTAAACACGGTATTCTGATTATTTATTCTTTTGATTTCTCATATTTTAAAAACACAAACAAACAAAAAATGGCATTTGAACAAGAGCCTGTATCTTATATCCACTGTACTTGAGATTTTGCTTTTACCATTTAATAATACACATTCTGTCACTTGCCTTACCACTATTTACAAGAGTAAAAGCAGGTGAACAGTTTCACATGTGAGTGAATTTTTTTGTGTGGCGTAAAGGGATACTGGATGATTACTAAAAAAACAAAAAAACCCAAAACCTCCTACATCTTGTACAGTTGGTCTGTTTCCATGGAGAAGTTGAGAGTGCTCTAGAGAGGCAGCCCCATCTCGTTGCAACCATGGAGGAAAAGATGATGATGATGATGATGATGATGACGACGATGATGGGCCCTTTTCTCCTTCCTGCTCATCTCCATAATGGAATCTTGCCACTTAGAAGTGTGGATAAAAATCTGAATATGAAAGCGAATGTCTGTCAAAGCTGCAGCTTAATCAGACAGGCCGCATATATACCTGTATGAACAAACAAAAATAAAACTGCAAAGTGTGTGTGTGTATATGTGTACCTACTCCTATATACACAACTGCACTTCCACTTCTGTGTACAGCATATTCACATGCAGCACGTAAATACACATTTACATATTGTTGTACTCTGAAACTCATCATCAATATTTCATTATATTACACTCAATCTAACAAATTCCAAAAATTACATCATTTAATCAGTTTACCGACTTATACATGATTTATGTTGGGGATTTTTAAGGTTTTTTTTTTTTTTGTACTATTGAACCTGTTTTTGAACACAGCAAGTAATTCACACTTTTTCAGGTCGGTTCCAAAATTATTTCACAATCACTTCGTATTGAAACAGACCTTTGCTTTATGTTTGTTCTTGTTTGTCTTTTGCCCTAAAGTCATACCAACTCTGTCATTTCAAACATAATTGTTGGCCAATAACTGGATGAATGGGAGTGTTGTACCCATCCAACTCTGCAATTACAGATCATTGAGTTCTAATCTTACAACCACACCACCAGGAAGACAATTATCATAATAAATTAATTCAGCCCTTACCTGGGCTGTAAAACCATCTGTATACTCCATTTTAGTCAAAGGAAGTCTATATTTTCATCTTCCACTCAGGTGTCACGTAAATCACCTCTTCAGTGAAAATGAACTCTACTCCAGCCTTTAATATGCCTTAGGGTGTGAGGCAAAAGGGGGCCAAGGCCAAAATGAAATCTGAACTTGACTACATCTATTTAGAAATAAAAATATTAATATTTTGATTCTCAAGATGAAATCTGTTCGAATATGGCACTTTCGCCACAAATGATGAAAGAGCTCTCGGTCTTCAAAATGTTTCTCACTTGTTACTGCCTTTTTTGGGGGTCTTGTACTCTACTTGTTTTGAGACATGAGAGAAAGAAAATAGCGTAGTAAATGCCAGAAAGTTCGTACTACTTTTCTATGGCAACCAGCCACAGAATTTGAACTTAACTTTTAGTCCATTTTAGATAAGTGTCCACGTTTGGAGTCATGTCAGACTTGTGACATTGATATCGACTTTGAGATGATGTTGCCAGTCCACTGTTTGCCAATAGTTATTCAATACCTCTTTTCTTTAAGCTCTTGTGATCACATGGAGGCCGACACCTTGTATTTAACCCTTTCGTGCACCCTGTAACCTGATAAGATGATAAGCTGTCCACTGTCGTAACCACTGGCCCTGAAAGGGTTAATAGCCTGCCAAAATCAGGACTTGAATTTGATTTTCCAATGAAATAAATCAGGGTTTTTCCATTCAGATGTTCTTTCTCAATCACAAAAACGTGGCATTTTTGTCAATAGTGGAACCAGCGAGTATTCAGCAACAGGAACAATCCTTTTCTGTCTTTCAGATACTCCAGCCAGTCAAGCAAAAGGCTCACCGATCAATGATGAGCTGGACATCTTTGGACCAATGGTCTCCAACCCTCTCCCGTCCTCCAACAACACGCAACAGGCGAAGGTAATATCCACGCACACCGACACAATGTCTCTTATCAGTGTACTGGCTGCTTTAGAGGGAATCAACTGAGACCACTGAAGCGATGGCACATAAACACACACAATCATGTCTAAAATTGCAACATCTCTTCAATAATGGATGTCATACCAACATTGTAGACACACACCGCAGATTATACACTGTAACGGAATTCTGTACATTTACGGTGAATTCACAACAGTATCTGACTCTTTTTAATAACAATTGTAAAATACTGTTAAATGTCCGTCCGTAGTTTGTAAATTAACAGTTAAATCAGTCAGCAAGAACTGTAATTTGACAGTATACAACTACGGATTGCTGTCCATTTCTGATGAGAGAACGGTATCTTACTGTATTTTGAAAATAAAATACATCAAATACCATTAAATATTTATACCCACATGTAAATTAACAGTGGATGCTCGGTTGTGAATAACAAACTGGAATTTCACAGCGGTGGAAAGGAGGCACCACGTCTTTTTATCTTTATTTATGATGGGAACATGAAGCTTCAAATTTGCTTCATGAACCAGTTGTTGACTCCTCTAGATGGCACTCTCTTTTCAACATTGGGTTGTAAGTGCATTAGACTTGCCATTTCTTAAACCCCTTTATTAGTTTGTTATTCTGTAGCGGTTGTGTGAAATTACCTTATGACCCACCGTTATCCTAAGGTAATATACTGTAATTCAAAATACAGTACTCTATTATTAGATTCGAGGCATTGTTAAATCACCGTAAATTACTGGCCTCCCTGCTGCTACTAATTTACTGTTATTTTACAGATAAATTATTTCTGGTGTATCAAAGCTAAGTGCCATACTTTTTAATTTGTAAAAGCCATCTTGGCCTGTCCTTGAACATACTGTGGGCCAATCTCACAAAGCCAATCCAAGCAGTGGGTTAAGCAAATGAAGAAATCAAACATTAACACCCACAACAATTCAAATTTAGAATAAAGGAAACAATGAATTTGAATAACACCAATTTTGAATTGCACAAATGGGAAAAAAAGGGAAACTTAAGTGCAATTATGATTTTGAGCTGTTGGGATGTAACAATAATGGTGACATAGCAATATTAAAATTGCCACAATATCGTCGTCATCATGTTCCAATATTAAAAGAGGCATATCTCCATCGAAAATACATTACTTTTCGGCCACTACAGCTGAACACAGCATTGTGAACGATGTTGACCATGATACTTTAGCACCGCTGAGCCAACTGGAACACATGGTTGTATAACAACCAAAATAATAATAACAATAAAAATAATAACCTGTACATACATTGTTTTGTCATTATTAAGTTAAGTGATCATTATTTTTGATGACCAATGAATTGTCTAGATATGTTTTTAATTAAAAGCTGTCCAAATGCTCACGATTTCAGCTTTTCATCAGTAAATATTGATATTTGTGTTGAATCAAAATAAAACAATTGCTTCATCTTTGAAAAACAATGATCGACATTTGTGCCTATTTTATGTTATGGACACAACCAGTTACCCAATCATAATTGATTTATGTTTGCACACTGTCAATTTGAAATAATATCCTGTTTTGAATGAAGGGATGGAAATGTAAACTTTTTTTTTTCAGCATTCCGATTCAACAATTAATCAACAAAATAATCAACACAAGACTCTATTATAGAAATAATTGTTAGCTTCAGGCCTAGCTCAGATAATTGAGGTGTCACCAAAGAAAAAAAATATTGACGTCAAAATAGCTGATGATGATGATTATGATTACCTTTTTCGAAAAGCTCGTTTCTACAATTGTTAGAAACAAGTGTGTTTGGTCAACCAATCTATGTCCACCTGCTGATAGATAAAGAAAGAGTAGGAATATTTTTTTTTCAGGTAAAAGAAGACAGCTTACACGTTCTTTTGGTAGTTTTGGTGTTTATTGTCAGAGAACACTATATTCGGTGGGTCTCTAAAAGAGCTGGCAAGATGGCCATCTCTGCTCTGAAAACGTCTGGCAGTCTTGAAAGTGGATGAGTGCACTGTGCATGCGACAGGCTCAACTTTTACAAAGACTTCTAGAGCTATGCCAACCATGGCTTTGGGATTTTAGTAGGCGGATTTTGCTTTCTGGCGGTGATTATCCAGGTGCATGAAAAAAGGGGGGAAGCTCTCGCTTGCTGATTCTTGCAGCTATTAACTGGCATCTGGGAGTGCTTGCTTATCTGTGAATGTCAATTACAAAATTGTGATTACAGCCTTGTGGGAGGGAGAGGATTTGTGTTTCTTCTCTCTTTCTCTCGGTCTCCCTTGCGAACGTATTTCCCGCATGTCTTATGTGTGTTTAAGCCTTTATCCTCATTTTAAATAGATTGTTTGAAGGCCACGGGTGAGCTTGTGGAGTGTACACCTGATTGGTCACCAGGCAATTACAGGGCACATGCAGACAACCAAACCAAATCCATTGCTGCTCACATTTCACCGATGGCCGAATTTAAATTTTCAAGTCACCTAACACGTTGATGTCTTTAAACTGTGCAAGGATTTTTAGACAAATTCTTAGTGGATCACATGCAAAATGTCCACCAGTAGCATGTAACCATTCTATTAGAGTGAAAACACAATTTAGTGCCCGCTAGTAAATCAGGCCCAAATTTCTTTGTATATCCCAGAAGAGCTAATTTTAGCCCGTGTTGTTAATGGAAGTTACGGATCGTATTGGCCGCTCTGTTAAGTGGCTATTAAAAAGCTCAGGGGCAGCCTTGTTACTTTTAAGTCTAATGCACTTCTTCTATCATACTTTGTGCTATTTTGATGGTTTTAACTCTTTAATATAGGCAATTATAAAACATTTTATCGGGGAGGCGTCAATAGTCACATTTTTTCGCTCCCCCAAAGATGCACTCAGCACTAAAATAATTCTCTGGGAAATTATGTCTTTTATTTACAGTATTTATTTATTTATTTATTTATATTCAGAAGTCGTTTCTAACCTTGAAAGTAGTATGGTAATTATACCGTCTTTTCCGAGTCCAACTGACATTTTCGGTTTGTTTTCATTTCACACATTTGAATTGTGGATTAGGAATTAATTATTTACAGAAATGATTTCTGAAAGCAGCAGAGCGTAAAATCAGTAAAATGTCAAACAATTGCCCCTAAACGAGGCAATTTGTGATGGATTCATCCATTAATATTAAATTTCTACTGCTGTTAAAAATGTCCTTGGCAAGGCTACACTAATTAAAACCACGAAACCGTAACAGCCACTTTGTAGCTGTAATAAACTGCAAGTGGAGCATTTCTCCTGGAAGTGTCATTGTTTTCTCTAGCAGATAAAATGACGGACATGAATCCATACCAAACTGATTTGGAGGCTCGTTTGGGACACCGAGTAAATTTTGTAAGCGAAATGAACGCGGCGTCAATTGCTAGTTGGCCCATTCAGGTGCTCAATCAAGTTCAGTGCGAAATAGGATTACAAGTGTGAAGAGAAATGGAGAAGACTGGGTTGAGTGAGCTCGGAATTTGGAAAAAAAGACGCATACAATTAATCGCTGAAGAGGGACTGTTGAGTGAAGAAACAAAATGGGGCAGACAAGTCATGTAATGAACTGATGACTCGTGATTGAAAATTTTTTTCACCTCTTTTTCTGTCCTCTTTTTTTAGTGCACTCATTTCTTTGTTCAGGGTTTTTTTTTTTTTTTTAGTTTTTACACATGCGCACAAACATTCTTACCGGGGGTTTAAAGACACAGATGGTCGAACAGAGGGGAGTATATGGATGTTTCAAGCAGTGATGGAAAAGGTTGGTGTGTGTGTGTGTGTGTGTGTGTGTGTGTGTGTGTGTGTGTGTGTGTGTGTGTGTGTGTGTGTGTGTGTGTGTGAGTGAGTGAGAGAGTGAATAGCGACAGCGGGGACAATGCCATGAGAGATGGTAATTCACCATACAGCACAGCATCGGTTTGAACAGAATGGAGCCTTGTTGTGGAGCCTCTATGGCACAATGCGCTGCTAGGAGCCCCTCGACATATCACATGCTATGTGGGCGTGCACGTATGCGCCGAGGAATGTTAAGTCATTGTGAATTTCAATGTCTGAGTGGCACATCTACAGTGCACATCCTATATAGACTTGATTAAAAAACGTAATTGTGCATGATGTGCGTCACAATTTGAACCTAACTGGCCCCATTCCGTTTGGTCCGGTTCAAATGGTAAATGGCAAGGTTTCATGTTTGCCCCAACGGTTCTCTCAAAGGAGAAAATATGGAGGTTTAGACTGTGTTGAAGGGGCGGTCCTGTCTGATGAAATTATTTGTTTGGTTACGGCACTCCATATATGGTGGAACCAATGCAGAGTGCTTCTTTTGTTCCTTGTTACTGTGGTGGCTAGTTGCCTTTCAAGCTAGGCGGTTGAATGACGTAAGGGGGGGCTTCTACTTGGGGAAACATCCGCTAGGAGCTTATCCTTGGAACATCAGCTCGGGTCTTACGCTGTGTAGTTTTGTCTCGGCGCTTGGGCTTCCTCTCACATTCCCAAGTATTTATGTGAATTGAATTACCGTATTTTTCGGATTATAAGTCAGTTTTTTTTCGTAGATTGGCCGGGGGTGCGACTTAGTCTGGTGCGACTTATGTGTGAAATTATTAACACATTATTATATCATTTCACATGTTATATTCACACTAAGCCGGAAGAGGGCGCTCTAGGCCTGTGTTGATAAGTCGACAGTGAGTGACATAAGCGATGTAGAATAGGAAGCACCACATCTTCTACCTCCAGAGTTGGCAGACTTGTTTCAAACAGACACCGAAGATGAAGATTTCATTGGATTTAGTGATTTGGAGAGACACTTATGTGTGGAATCTTTATTATGCATTTTATGGCTGGTGCGACTTATACTAAGGAGCGACTTATAGTCCGGAAAATACGGTACCACAAAATTGCTCATTGATGTGATTGTTTGGTCGTTTGTCTATACCGGGGCTCACCAACAAGGTGCCCGCGGGCACCAGGGAGCCCTCGGGGACTACATGAGTAGCCTGCGGGCCAACAGTATTCCAAAAATAGCTCACCAGTGATGAGCCACGGTGACTTTCCAGGAATATTGTCGAAGCGATCAATTCAAACTCTGTGAACACTGGCAGATATTTATAATAACAGGTGGCCAATTGATATTTATGTTTCATAATGATGATGAGGAATCGCGAATGTGATCGGTGTCTTATCAGAAATGAATCTCATTCATCATTAAGTATAACCTATGAAGGTGGTTGGAGCAAATTGATTGATCAAATTGATCCTATCAAACTGGTAGCCCCTTCGCATTAATCAATTGCCAAGAAGGAGCTCTTAGCTTCAAAAAGGTTGGCGACCCTTGTTCCAGATGCTCTCTTCCAAATGTATTGGAGCACTTGTATTTATTTTTGGCTTTTCATGGGTTTTATGTAAAAAAAATGAATGCGAGGCAAGATTGATATTTCCATTTTTATTTATTGACTTCTGCATCTGATCCATACTTTTGAAGATTAGGTTAAGATTAGCATTACTTGTAATAAAACTCCAAAGATGAGCAAAAGTGTTGGGACAGACACTTGAGATGTAAGTAAATATTTGATTGCAAATCATCATTGGCATCACCAAACTTTTGCTTTTTTTTTTTCCTGTAGCTTTTCCAGATTTTCATTGTCCCTTTCAGTTGTTTGTTTTCGGTAAACTGCGTGCTCTCTAGGGTTTACATCTGAACATTCACCTGGTTAGCCTCAAAGCTCTTTTCCTTCTTGCTTCTCCCGATCCCAGAAGAAGCCATGGAATCCAAAGCCATGACTTTGCCCGCATGGTGCGATAAGCGTGTTCCCTATGCCCGTGTGACGATAATGAGTGGTTTGCATCTTCTGGTGTCGTCGCTGTACTTTTGTTCATCAAGTCTTCTGTGAACAGTACACTGTGATACCTTCACTCACACCTTGTGGAGGTTTGTGTTGATATCAACTAACTTGATCTTTTTTTGTATACAGTGAAACTCTTCTACAACGAAATCATGTTTGCAACAAGAAATTTTTCACAACAGGGGGTTTTTCACTGTAGCAAATTTGAACTCAGATGTAAACACACACACACACACACACACACACACACACACACACACAAACATATTTGTACACGCACACACAAACGCATGTGTACTCTTTATTTTTTTCCCAATAGCGCATAAGTATGTACACTTATTTGAGACTTCATATAGTCAGTGTAGAAAGAAAATAAAGGAAAGAAATTGCGAAATTTACGATCAGCATTCACTTTCACTTACATCAATTTCTTGGATAATGTCTTTTATTTTGTTTCCTCCGTCTTTCATTTTGATCACTTTTACCTTCTCTTCCTGCGTCAGAGCTCTTCTTGTCTTAGCTGCTTGACATCCAAAGGTCCGTTTTTCATTGTTGAGGAGTTTCACTGTAGCAATCAAAATCTTGTTGTGCAGCTACTGTTGTTTCCTGTGATTAACTGGCAAACAGTGCAAGGTATACGCTGCCTCCCGCCCTAATTAAGATGATATCCAGATCAGCCATGATCCCGATCATCTAAGCGGTACAAAGTGAGTAAATCCTGACTGAATCGGTTATGACCAATTCAATATTCAGGATTGCATTGACGACTGCCCAATCACTGCTTGAACAGTGATTGAAAATCTTACCAATCACCGTATAGTATTGGCCCTGGACGAAAACGAAAAGGAAGACGAAGTGGAAGGGTGCAACGCATTTTGACTGCGGCAATCAAATCCTACAATTTAAAATCTTGACGGAGCACTTTTTGTAGGTACAAAATGTTCAGTCTTGAGAATGTGCTCTCCCTAAGGTCAACATTTATTATAACGTACAAAACTAAAATTGTGTCAGATTTGTCAGCACTAAAATTGCTTTTTAAACTCAAATAATATGCTGTAATAATGTAATCACATTACATTTGTAACGCTTTAGACTCGACTCTAGGGGGATGGAAAAGTTTTGAAAAGGAAGCGGGGCAGATCAGTCATTCTGGACTATGCATATTAGTTTGGCTTCCAGGCTGGCAATTCTCACAAATTTTCTCACCAAAGTGCTAATTAACTCTTATAATCTGAGCTACGCACGCCAAACATATCTTAATGCAAACTTAATTAAACTTGTCATTCCTCCAAGCAGTTTTTTTTTTCTCATTGCTGAACGTGTTCCATCACGCATCAAAGATGGTGTTATCACAGAATTGCAGAGCAATATGATTTACAAGTCACAGCTTCCATTCTGAAAAACATTATTTCCAGGAAGGAATGACGCTTCATGTCTTGTCTATCACTGAGGATTTGAAATCTGCCAGACGTGTGTTTCCGACGTGTGAATTCTCTTCGGAGCAAATGGGCTTTCCTCTGCGGTTGAGTCATGTTCGGGTTGATTAGTTCAGGATCATTGTCGTTCCATTTACTCCTTAATTTAGCAGCCAGGTTGCTGCATATATGCTGCATCTATTAATAGCATCATGCTTTTCTGAATACCTGACGCACCATCTCTTCAAAGAATTGCTTCTGTGTTTCTCGCAGCAGCCCGATTCCTCTCCACCTTTTAAAATGTTTTAGTACTGTCCCAACTTGCCCTGCTTTTACTTCAAAGGATGTTTTTCTTCACCCTCCTCAACCTCTGCGCATTATTTTTTTCCCTCATCACTCTCACAATCCTCTCACCGTTGCCCTACTTGTCTCTCCCCATCATCCTCCCTCCTTGCCCCCTGCCTCCTTTCCCCTCTATCCTCTGCCTTCTCTTGTGTTTTGGGTGCATCCTCCATCACCCCCAGCTCTCCTTCTCCCAAGTAAGTTGTGCCTCCTTCCCAAATTCGCTTTCTCCGTATTCCTTTGCACCCGACTGCTTTCAGCGCTTGCTTTGCCTGTCTTCCCCTCTCCTAGTCAAAAAGAGTCAGCTGAGTGAGGCAGATGAGTGCAGCGCTGCCTGCTAAGTAGTTGAGCCAAACATACTTTCAAAGTGGTGTATGCGCGCGCGCATGCGCGCGTGCGTGTGTGTGAATGTTTCTCAGTGGCCACTATTTCTCACAGTCTCCTCTTATTGTATCCATGAAGTCGCTTCTGCTTCCCCCTTTTCACACTCATGCCTACACCCATGCACACACACACACACACACACACACACACACACACACACACATACACACACACACACACACACGCAATCTTGTATTGAGAGTACAACCTTTATGTATTGTTGGCAGCGGTCTAATTGTAATCACTTTTCGACAGAATGTCTCATGTCCTAAAACGTAGCTCTCATTACCCTGACTTCAATCTTCGAATTTCTTTTGATATGTGACAAATATTTAGAAGCAAGATAAAGCAAATTGGTTGACAAATTGATCACGACAATGTCTTTTTTGAACTATCACCAATGTACTGTTCTGTAAAAATCGGCCTTAAATTATATTCAAATGTGTGTAGCTTGCACACAGTTACAGTAATTTTCTCAGCGCTGGCACAGCCACCAATTCACTAGCCAGTCACTCTGCTTGTCATTGGAAGGGGATAAAAATGCGCAAGCCATATCCATTTTTTTTTTTAATGTGGAAATTCTGTCCATTTCCCTCCACCCCAACAGAGAGCACCTCAGGCATCAGATCCCTCCACCTCTTCATCTTCTTCCTCTACCTCCACCTGTACCACCACAAGGGCAGTGGAGAAAAAGCTCTTATCTAAAGACTCCATCCTGTCTCTCTACGCCAGCAGCTCAGCGGGCAGTCAGCCACAGAGCCAGCAGCAGCCCGCTACTGGGCAAGGTAATATGCAAAATATGCACGCACACAATACAAGACAATACACACGCACCACACTACTATAATCAAAACATGAGCTTTACAGTCTTATACTTAGGGGGTTAATAATCACATTTTGAAACAGTTACTTCATAATTTTAGACTACACAGCCTATTGCTGGATAAATGACAACCATTACAGTTTTGCTATACATTGAGCGCTGTCGTGTTTTCCCCTCTGCGGTTGTCGAAAAAGATACTTGCAGCGGGTCATCATCATCATCGACTCTTCTGCATTTACTGTACATTACGTTGAGCCGGTAGCCATTACCCAATGATGACCAATGAATCAGCTGTTAGCTTCCACCACAGCTAATAGTGATCTGAATCTTTCTTGCAGTCAGGTCCATTTTCTGGTGTCCGGCTTAACCAGGGAAGTGGAAGCACTCTCTTCGGATCCTTTTATTATTCGAAAGAAACTGTGGAGATGTTTTTGTGAGCGTGCACACGTGTGTGCAGGTGCAGGACTGTTCTTAGCGTGGGTGTCAAGTGTGGGGAAATCACTGACATTTGTTCATTGAGTGGAGGGGGCAGTAGCCTTACGCGGAATTTACATGTGCGCATTGATTATATTGCTCTGTGATAACACTGACTTGACTCGAGGATCAGAAATGGCATTGAGGAGAAAGGGCATTCAGCTCCGTCTGTAAATTAAAATGGGCTAACGTTCCGAATCACTGTTCTATTGTGTGTTGCGCTACAGGCATACACATGGGCCCGCCTCACATAACACAGCAGGGCTTCAACAGCGCCATGATGGAAGGAGGGGCCATGACGTCAGGCATGACTCGAGCTAACGGCAGCTACGTGGACATGCGGCAGAACACACACGGCATTCAGCAAGGACAGTGGAGTGTGGGCCAGGTAAAACATTCAATATTCAATCAATCAGCAACTTATATAAATGTGTGGCCAGCATCATCTACGTAAACTAGCCCATTGTGACCAATGTAGACCAAGGATTGTGCAGCAGACACACCGATACAGTGATGCCCCTACTATATATATATATATATATATATATATAGAGAGAGAGAGAGAGAGAGAGAGAGAGAGAGAGAGAGAGAGAGAGAGAGAGAGAGAGAGAGCCGGACACATTTGAGATCGCGTCGGCGCTTAGTTTACGTGCGCGCATCAGCGTGCGTGTGGTGCACGTGTGTGCAGACACACATACCTGCACAAAGCTCTCAGATGGTCGGATAAGAGAGTGGTGCAGCACCAAGGCACATTCATAATAGATAAGACAAAATGGAAGACCGAGGGCAAGCAGAGAGAAGCAGATGAGGCGCTGAATAGAGAAGCCTGAGGCAAAGTGTCAGGAGGTGACTTGGGGAGTGGTGGGGAGAGCAGTAATCAAGGAGAAGAGTGAGGTAAAGTGTGTTTTTTTTAATTATTTCTGGGCTCTGTGTGTGTGTGTGTGTGAGTGTGTGTGTGTGTGTGTGTGTGTGTGTATATATATATATATATATATATATATATATATATATATATATATATATATATATATATATATATATATATATATATATATATATATATATATATATATATATATATATAAATAAATATACTGTATCAGAGGGAAGACTGCAAGGGAAGCTTCCCCTAAAATGTCCAAAAATAAGTGATCAAATACATGTGTGTACATACAATTGTGTGTACATGTCATTGACTAAATATGCGCTACAACGCGCTCAACTTTTGTTCCGAATCAGCTTCTTATTACTAGTTACGACGTGACTCTCTTCTCATTCATTCTCGCAGCTTCACTGTGCTTTAAACTGTGTGGACGCTGAGCGTCTACAGCGCGGATGCTGGGCGTCGAGAGAGTTCAGTGTAGCTCTTTTTGATTGACAGCGAAATGAGCCAATCACCGATCTTTTGGTGTAGGCATCGTGGGAGCATTTTTCAATTCTCATTCTGTTCTGAGTTGAACTGGAGACTTCTTCCAATCATTTTAGCGACACTCTCTTTGTTGAAAACGACTAGTGACAAATTAATCTTTTGTTTCTGATGGGTTTAATTGTAGTTGCTGTAGTTGTAGGACACTCGTTAAGTCCCTGGAAAAGACGTCTTGTTGGTATGACAGGGTCACAGATAATTTTCTTGAAAAGGAACGGAGAGTAGAATCCACGTATAAATAAACAGACACATTTTATGATGTAGGCCGAAATTGAACTTCCCCTCCTAGACAGACCAGCATCCGCCATATATATAATATGTATATATAATATAAAATTCTAATACACTTGCTTCTTTCTTCTCTCAGCTATCCCAGCAGATGTCAGGCATGGCCACAAATGGAGGCGCACCCCCATCGGGCACCTCTGCAGCCAGTTGGTCCGCAGCGCCAACAGCTTCTGGACAGACCCTCAGCACTCAGCTGTGGAAGTGACGAGTCCGCAGTCCAGAAAATTTGTGGTGCGGCCTGTGGCACCTACACAACAACGATTCCTCCACACCATCCTCAAGGTTTCCTTTACAATGGCAAGACAATACAGGCAGGTTGGGGGTGGGGCGGAGGGGCGGGGGGACCCGGCAGCCGTCATGTTTTGTCTTAATTGGATCTCATTTGGATTTCCTGTTGGTGTTGTGTGAAGAGTAGGTACAGTTTCAGTCCAATAAACAATAGAGAACACTGCTGGACAGAGTATCCACTAAAGTAATGTTATAGTTCTATAATAGCATTTTAAAACTTAATAGATAGTAAATAGTCATTGAGTGTTTACAGTAGATATGGTTCCCTTGTCGTGGTTTGTCTCTTCGCTGTGCTGCGTATGTTATACTCCTCCCACGCCTGCCCTCACCTTCTTTCGAGCCAGCAGAGCATTGTGCGCCGCTAATAGTCTGACCAGTCCTGTAATTTGTGTGAAAATGCGGTGTAAACCCCAGAGCCATCGCCGGCGGTCAGGTCAGTGAGTCATCTCCCAGACACTTGTTGCATACTAATTTGTTAATCATGCTCAATTACAGAATTACAAAATTGGAGGATAGAAGAACTGAAATATAACAGTTCTGCAGTGATGGACAAGGATGCTTATACAGTAAATCCAAAACATGAAGTCGCTACAGGAAAGTTTTTGTTTTTTTTCCCTTTAATTTTTTCTTGAGATTCACTTGGAATTACAGTGGAACCTCAAAATTGAAACTTGTAGGTCTGACTCTGAGGTCACACTGTTTTGAAACCATCAACTTCTCAAAATCCTCAAAGTCACACAAATGTGGAGGTCAAATCACATGAGATGTCACACGAGAGTTCATCTGAGTGAGCATCACAAAGATTTTGTGATTCCATCACCGGTGCCCTTCTGTGATGGCAAAGATGATAACAGTGAAAGACAATAGAACTGAAAATGGACGTGTCCGAAAAGCAGTAAACGCATCTCTATCGTGACAACTCATGACAATGCTTAATAATAAAAAGCAACAATGAAAAGAACACCAAAATTGAGCTGTCTTGGCTGCACACTAAGGCAACGCAGTGCCTTGTTCTGGCTCGGTCTCTTATGCAAATCAGTCAGTCATTCAGTGCACACATCTGTGTCGACAAACATACGACGGCGTAGTCAACAATAATTAGACTGTAAGAGAAAAAGAGCGATGCGTCATCGACTTTCAAGTGATGTGTGTGTCAGCTTTATGCATTGCCCCGACTTGACTCCCAGCGTTCATTACTGCGTGGTGAATACACATTTTATTATGTATGTTTTACAGATATTTGTTCATATCATTGAGGTTTTATATCACAATGGCCATTTATTACGGTAGATGGAACCAATGCATTTAATTTTTCATAACTTTCTGTTTTGGAGGACTGTATATGCTCGAATTGACAATTGTCATCTTGGAACATATTGCGATCGCTCGACGTTGAGCAGAGTGTTTCCCATCTGCGGAGTTGTAGTCCAGAAAGCCTGCTGTGCAATGTGAAATCACTCAAAACCGATTCCATTTGTAAAATGATAAGAATGCAGTCTTAGTAGCTCGCGCACCGCATTGTCCACCATCAGCGCGTGTGCACTCTATTATTTTGACCATGCAATTTTGCCCCCTCTAATCGAGATCTAAGTAAATCAGGCGTTGACAGTGAACAAAGTATCCACTGTTGGGTTGTCCTAAGCTAAGGTCTCGTAGGAGTTTTCTGCGGCCATGTTGCATGTTTCGTTTCTGAAGCAAAACGCCAGGTCTAGCGACTGGGCTCCCAGCCAGTAAAGTCATTCCTTTTGTCTGGAGACCTCTCTTGCATTCCTGAAGGCAAATTAAACCACCGCAGAATCACCGCGATTCATCTCGGTGCACTTTAAATACCGCTGAGCGAGCGCTGTATCTCTGTATATTGTGTTTCTGTCTCTCAAGATTGTCGTCAGGGAACAGATAAGTGAAACGTGTATTTACTTTCAACTGTAAGACATCTACCAAATCTCCTCCCTTCCATAACAATGCAGTTTAAAATCCATAGGTGAGTCTTCACCCATTGTTCTGCCCTCCCCCTTTTTTTTTTTATTGTGTCCATTGTTGCGTGCTGTACAAGAGAAGCACAATTATTGTGAAGCAAATAAACCCGGATGACCAATGATGATGATGGTGACCTGTATGAAAAATTTTGGACTGGTCCCATCGTTGCTGTTGAGTTCATGTTGAGATTAAAAGCAACAGTATAAATGCACACACCAGCAAAAAAAAAAAAAAAAAAAAAAGGTGAAAATAAATTCACTGCCACACCAATGCAGGGAATTACATTCACTTGTCACAGGGTCCCTCTGCCATGCAATAAATATTCAGCATTAGGCATAAAATAAATGTGACTCGTGTGGATGACACATCAACACATGACATGTCCTCCAGGTTTATTTACATTTGTGTTTACATTTTCTGGTGCCTAATACAAAACGTGTGTCTGTAACATCAATTTGTCCATGTTCATTATTGTCCAAAGGCAAAAATTTCGATGTGTGAGTAGCTTTTTGTCATTTGGGAATTCCGTTGGCTTTGTGTTGGTCCCAGAATTTACCAGATCACCCGGAATAAAGGATGTTGAATCCCAGATGCAATTGTGCATATGTACTATTTCTCCTGTGTTATTCAAGACTGGTGTGCTGCATTTACAGCACACACTGATGCCTTCTACTTGCTGCACTCCATTTTGCTTAGCTTTTTTTGTTTGTCCACTTTATTGGTTGTTAATCGTTGTCATGCGGGCTACTATCAAATCTCATGACACGTTTCCTGTGAGAGGATCCACACATTGCTGACAGTATGTTCACTTTAGGTCATTTAGAGGGGAACAACATAATTGGTACAAATAATAATTTAGGCATTAATTAATCGGTACCACATCAACATTTTATTCTTTCTGAATAGTGTAAAGACATCACATAATCTGGAAGCTGGTTGAAAACCAGGCTACTAAAATAATTGCATTATTCTTTTCAGTGAGCTCCTTCAAGTTGTAACACATTTGTTTTGTGTATTATGTACTGATCATTCTGTGTTAGCATAAAGCTGCCAAACAATCAGTTTAGTTTGGTTGAGATTCACAAATCGAAATATGAAGGATTGCAGCTTCTGTGAAACTAACTTCTATCTTTGTGGACATCAGCACCCAACAAGACAATGAACGAGCTTATCAAAGTTCTGACGATATGCGTACTAGTGTCGCAGGCCAGTCTTTGATATAACACTGCCCTTCTGACTGCTTTGTCAAGCAGTTGTACATGTTTATTCAATGACCTCTTCAAAAGGGCACCTCAAGGCTCACTGCAAGAGCCACTTTGCAATTTACAGAGAAATCACCCTTTTCTTTGCTTTTTAGATGATTGGAACAAACAAAATTCCGTGAAAGAGTATTTGCACTCTTCTTCTTTTCTTTTTTGACCACACCCAGCCCTGATTACCTTCAGACCTGTTAAATCAAGAAATCACTTAAATAGAACCGGTCTGACAAAATGTCGGCCGGCCAAAAATATCAAAAAAGCTACAACAAAATGGCACAGTTCAAAGATATTGTACTCCAGATGACAAACAAAGTAATTGACATCCATTAGTCTGGTTGTACAAAGCCATTCCTAAAGGCTTGGGACTCAAGCAAACCACAGTGAGAACCATTATCCACAAATGGTGAAAACAATGCAACAATAAGGTAAGTCAACTTCAGAAAGACATTGAGGGCTGGAGGTTGCTGGTGGTGGGAATGAAGGTTTTGAAGTGGCCTCGTCAAAGTCCGGACTTCGATCCGACTGAAATGCTATGAAATGACTTTTAAACGGCCATTCATGCGCAAAAGCCCTCCAGTGTTGCTGGATTCAAGCAATTCTGCAATGAAGAGTGGGCCAAAATATCTCGATGGAGATATGAAAGACTCATTGCCAGTTAAACAAAGCAATTGATTTCAGTTGTTACTGCTGAGAGTGACCCAAGCAGTTATTAGGTGTAGGCGGCAAATACTGTTCCCCCACATGGCTAGGTAGCTTTCATTCAGGATTCAACATTGAGGATGAGCATTTGGCAAATTTTCTTGACTGCCAATTTCTCTCAGAATATCGTGACACTTACTTACATTCAGCAAAGTGCCCTGGTGGATTTTGCTCAAATTCTGAGCGATTGGTGGTACGTTGTTGAGACCGCAAATTAGATGAGACATGATCCAGTCTTTTGCTTGATTTACTTCAAGATACAACGAATTAACCATTGCTTAATGGCGATCTCCACTCTGCCTGTCGATCCAGATGAAGAAACGCACCACTGTCAAACAGAATCGAAAGTGAATTCATGCATATCCCGAATTCTCATAAGCATTAACACTGAGAAACGTTACGGTAAACCATGTCAGACGATGTAGGCAAGTACTTTGGACAGACCACAAGTCTTGAATGTTGAGTGTTACATCAGTGTTATGCACCACCAGTAATACTTAAATGCTTCAAAAAAAATAATCACATTCAGACTTCAACACAATGCTGTTTTTTATTTTATTTTTATATTTTACAACCAAGGATGGAAGAAACGCACGGTTTTAATTGTCTTGTTTGGGGTCATTTGTGGTGGAGCCGTTCACGCTATGGACATCCCATTGCTGCCCTCTAATTGATAGATAATCGGTCCAGGAACGAGGTCAGCTGGGATTTACTCCAGTCCCTCTGTCAGCCCCAAGAGTCCTTCAGGTCTTGAAAATAGATGGAGTGACATTGTTTAGTGTTGTCCAGCTCTCACTGTTCATGTTGACAAGGTCTTGACTGATGCACTTGTTTGAAGGGAGCGAGCGTGAGCTACCAGCAAATGCCAGCTATCTCGAATCCAGAATCCCTTTTAAAATACACTTTTCTTCATGCAGTCGCTCACACTTCGATGAGCACCGTGTCCTTAGGATGCTTGGTCTCATTTCCAAGGTGTGGTTTCTCAGTGCGTGTATGCCAAACCAGCACCTGGGGGTGGAGGGGAGAAAGAAAGAAAGAAAGAAGTTGAATTACGAAAGAAAAGATAATGGTTGGCTTGAATGCAGGTGATCATAGTTTTACACTATGTAGCAGCAGCTGTTGCCAGTGTCACCACTGCATCCAAAACATATCATAATAAATTTCTGTTTCTGTTTTCCTGCCTGTCGATCCAGATGAAGAAACGCACCACTGTCAAACAGAATCGAAAGTGAATTCATGCATATCCCGAATTCTCATGAGCATTAACACTGAGAAACGTTACGGTAAACCATGTCAGACGATGTAGGCAAGTACTTTGGACAGACCACAAGTCTTGAATGTTTAGTGTTACATCAGTATTATGCACCACCAGTAATACTTAAATGCTTCAAAAAATAAAAATCACATTCAGACTTCAACACAATGCTGTTTCTTATTTTATTTTTATTTTTACAACCAAGGATGGAAGAAATGCACGGTTTTAATTGTCTTGTTTGGGGTCATTTGCGGTGGAGCCGTTAACGCTGTGGACATCCCATTGCTGCCCTCCAATTGATAGATAATCGGTCCAGGAACGAGGTCAGCTGGGATTTACTCCAGTCCCTCTGTCAGCCCCAAGAGTCCTCTAAATAACTTTTTATCCATTTATAAGCTACACCTCTAATGCCATATCGTTCTAGTTTTTTTAATAATATACTGTGATCTATTGTGTCAAAAGCTTTTTTTAGATCTAGGAAGACCCCAACAGTAAATTCTTTGTTATCTATATTAGTGGCTATTTCTTCCACAAACTCCATAACTGCCAATAATACAATATTCTCTGCTTTTTGTTTTAAACTTATTTCAAAATGTAAAAAAAAAAAAAAATCCACACAAAAGAACAGAGCACCTGCCAATGGCATGAAAAAATATTTCCTTTATTGTTTTGATAAGTTTTTTTTTTTAATGAAGCAATCACATGGACTTGACTAGACGCTTTGCTTTGTTGACGCACCTTTGGCAACAATCACAGCCGAAAATATTTTGGAATACGATGTGCCAAGCACTCAGTTTCTTGCATTTCTCTTTGCAGTACCTCTCATGCTCCATCTGGTTGGTTAAACACAATATTAGGCCCTTGGATGTTCTGGCACAAATAATTAAACCTAAAATTCCAAGGACAATGTTGTTCTCAAAGGGTAACATATAAGGGATCAGAAGGCAAAGAAAAGGGTGTGCTGGAGCCTATGCACTGGTTACACCCTGCACTGGTTGCTAGCCAATCGCAGGGCACATCATTCACACTCATAAGCAGACGTAAGGACAACTGCTTAGTCAAGTTGCCTGTGATGATATATGGATATATTTGTTTCATACGGTAGGTGGGGCCCCCTTAGATCTTAATGAAAACTGACAGAGAACCGTACGACCCAAAGGGATATGAAGCTGATTGCGTTATCTTGTCTTGAGATTAGGAAAGTCTCTTTTGAACTGAACCCCCCCTGCCCCTCCCCAACTGTAAAGTGAGGGGATAAAAGTGAAGACCGAAACAGGACTGTGGAAAAAAAAAAGACATGCAGTTTCTATCTTAGTTTATGTTCAAAAAATGATTAAAAATGTGACTGTTTGAAGAGTGGTGCTGAACCCTTTCATGCACCCTGATAACACGATAAACTGTCCACTCTAGTAACCACTGTCCTAGAAAGGCTTAATGAACAGAGTTTTGATGTCGTGTCACAAAATGCAACCACGAAGGCTGGATTTAAATTACAAAAGGATTGACTTCCCATATGGCCCTTGGGGTCTCCATATACTGCAGGGGTCACCAACGTGGTGCCCATGAGCCCCCAAGGACCACATAAGTAGCCCGCGGGCCACTTCAGAGAATAGCTCACCAGTGATGGGGCATTGTGATTTTCTATAAGTGATTATTTTAAAACACTGGCAGAGAAAATGTGTGTTTTGGTAATTGATTATCTTATCGAAGATTCCATCGATTATTCGGATAATCACAATTTTTGTGGTTGAATTAGCAGTGACCCCATTTGGATGTTCATACTTTGTTGCTTCCGCCTGCAGTTTGGTGGGCAAAAATCCAGTGTGGATCACACATCTCCAAGAGTGATTATGAATTGGTATATCTAAATTTGCTGATCAGTAATGTCTACACACACGGTGTAAACAAATAACACACACAAAAAAACAAACAAAACAGCAGCAGTTAATCCAAATAGGCAGCTTCAGTAAATAGACAAAATATGTAGGAAACCTGTTTAATAAGCTCCACTTGTTTATGACATTATTTGCATATTGCGAACATCAGTCACTGGAGGAAAAAAAAGAAACCTCCCTTCAAAACCCGGAGACCTCCTCGCTGCCTATGACCTTGACGGACAGGGATTCTTCAATCGTTAGCGGGTGCCCAATTAGGAGCGTGAAGATGGAAGGAAAGACGGACTATTTTGAATGTAGGATGTATGTTTTTTAAAATGTATTAAACGAGTACTCCAGTCTGTTTTCCTTTGATTGGGGGGGGGGGGACTACTGCACTCATCTTCCATTGTATTTTGCTTGTTACTGGTATGTGCCAGGAGGGATTCTCCAGTCTGACACCTCACCAAACATCTCCAAGCAAAACACAACACACGTCTCTGCAGCTCTTTACACACTTAACAGTCAGTGTCACCGCACATCGGTGAGAAAACACTACAAGGCATGCAAACAGTCATCCTTTCAGCAAGAGTGCCAAGAGTCATTTCATTAGTTTCCTTTTTTTTTTTTAATTGGTTCCGGCCTGATGCTAATTATCTTATAATTCAGCTGTAGCTGACATTTGTGGCTCCATGGCAACATTTTGCACTCTAAGATTCACAGGGCTTTGATTTATAGCAGGCTGAAAATACCGCAAGTGTGCGCTTATGGGCTTCTCCACTTGGAATATGTCACTTCCTGCCCACTGTGCCACTAATTGGTCCACTTTGCATACTTAACGAGACTAATGCGGCATCCACTAAGAACTATGCCAGAGCTGTGGGGACTGTGAGTGTGTGTATGTACAGTATGTATGAATGTGTGTGCGTGCGCGTGTGCGTGTGTGCGTGCGTGCCCACTTGCATTAATCATGCACTAAGATTGGCCTCTGCATTGCCCTGGAATATCTTGCTCCTTTTTATCACATTTGGCATATCTGACATTTTCTCTTATAGCTTTGTGTGCGCTCTCTCTCGCTTTTTTTGTACTCTCACTCATTCTCTTTTTCCTTGAGGGGACTTGGAGACAAAACGCTTTACCTGGGTGTTTTATTCCCCTTAATCGCAGAGAGAGAGAGCAGAGAGAGAAGCCTTCTCCACATCAGAATTACATGTTTGAGAATGAACTCCATAAGTAAAACTACCAATGCAATGTCCTCTCTGATTTTCTTTTAATATTTAAAGTGTGTGTGTGTGTGTGTGTGTGTGTGTGTGTGTGTGTGTGTGTGTGTGTGTGTGTGTGTGTGTGTGTGCGCGTTTTAAGTCCATCCATCCATCTATTTTCCGATCCGTTTTATCCTCACAAGGGTCGCAAGGGGTGCTGGAGCCTATCCCAGCTGCTTTCGGGTAGTAGGCAGGGAACACCCTGAACCTGTGGCCAGCCAATCACAGGACACACAGAGACAAACAACCATCCCTGCTCACACTCGCACCTAGGGACAATTTCAAGTGTTCAATCAGCCTTCCATGCATGTTTTTGGAATGTGGGAGGAAACCGGGGTACCTGGAAAAAATCCACGCAGGCACGGGGAGAACATGCAAACTCCACACAGGGAGGACGGAGCTGGAATCGAACCCTGCACCTCTGCACTGTGATGTCGACGCCCTAACCAGTCGACAAACGGGCCCCCCTGTTTTTTAGATCTCAAATGTAATTGCAGTCCAAAAATGTGCCGAATAATCACACACACAGTGAAACATTAGATTATACTTGGACAGACGCACACAAATTCATATAAAAATAGAAATCTATTCCAAGATTTTTAGAATAGCTTGTCGAGGATGTAGGTGACAGGGGCAGATACACAAATTTACAAACAGCCTGTGTCTTTTGTTATGTTTTAACAACTGAACTTGTTAAATAATTACTTTGTCTGTTCTACACAACACAAACACAAATTGGGATTTTTTTTGGGGGGGCGCTTGTTCACTAATCTTTAGTTTTCTTACAAGATGAATTTTAAAAAATATATACCAATGTGAGGTTTTTTTTTCCAAAACCACTGAAATATGACTGAGGCAGGTTGACAATGTGGCCGACGATGATATGCAACTACAACCAAGGATCATTTGTCAGCATCATTTTACCAGAAAATAACACATTTTGGTTTCAAAGACCTCTGATTTATTTACAAACGTTGTCTCCAAGAGTCACCTTAAATGGACTTTTGAAGTGGAAGAGTTCGAAAACATCAATTAATTTCTTTGTTTCCCCTTCAATTAAGACTAATTAGCACTCTTGCAATAAACCTAATCAACAAATGGATCAAACGGCATACAATCCATATGTAGAGCCACTAAAGAAAGCAAACCAGATCAGCAGACCCACGAAGCCCATAGTAATAGAATAAAATGCGACGTATCAAAAACCTGAAAGTCCGTACAAACGAAATCAACCCAAGTGTCATTTTTTTAGTCCTCTTTGAGGCGCGTCTCCTTGTGTCCATCCATTTTTCGACACCGCTTATCTTGTTCGGGGTCACGGGGAGCTTGACACGATCCCAGCAAGCAGACTCCGGGCAAAAAGTGATTACCGGTACATAAAAAGGCAGGCAATCATGCATACAGTCACCGAGTGCGAACTGAACCCACACTGCCTGGTTCGAAGTCAGACAAGTGTACCACTACTCCATCACTCCTCGTCTTTATCTTATCTAGCCTGTGTTTAGACTTACTGTCGGAATTGGAAGACCATGTAAGGTTCCAGGAAGCGAGATTAGCACCGCAGCCAAAAAAGTTCGCTTTCACAACAGCTACTAAGGATCCGTGGCCAAATTTGGGCGATGAAAGCAAGCAATGATTGTTGCGCTCCCTAATGAAGGAGATCTTTCCAACTGCGGCAAGCGGAGGGGGAATATCATTACTATCGATTTCCTGCCACACTTCTTATGTGTGCTCCTGCTCAACCGAAATTTCAAAGCTGTTGATGGAAACAGACTTAACAGCAAATATTCAGTCTTTTCTGCTCAAATACACCAAAATGAATACACAGATGCATTCCGTCAGTCATCCTTTTTGAGTGCCACCTCGGCTAAAAAGAAGCAAATACAAGAAACTGATGTTGGATAGCAATTCACCTCATGGCCGATGCTTTCAGTGAATGTGGCCTGTTTTTTGTGGTTGCTCTCCGATTTTGAAGCGGACAAAAAAAAAAAAAGATGATGATCCCAAGCAGAGGTGCCAAGCTTTTAGCGTGTAGTGGAAAAGTGGCAAAAATCTGCGTCTGTTCACCACATCAGAAAGGCTTCTTAGCGTTCACACTGGCATTTTGTTTTGTTTTTTTTTAACCAGTGAGCCTTTGGTTCCAGTTCCAACCCAATCAAACCAGCTGAGATGTCACAGGAAAAAAAAGTTCCTGGTGTTTAGTCCATTGCACTTTTGGCCTGCGTTTTAGACACTTGTACCAAACTACACCGAGAAACGCGGCCCATTTGACAAGAACTACCAGGTATGGCTTACTCTGATCGCAACCCCAGGCTAATTAATGAACTGAGTGATGTCATGCTGTGACTGGAATGAGCTTTTATTGAGTAATGATGTCACTGCCATTGCAATGACTGATGGTGTCAAAGCCTGTTAAAGGCCAGCATTCATATCAGCCCCATTAAAGGTAATGGGGCTGATAATCGTTGCGATAGTTTCAACACAGAGCTGTCAGCGGCAGCTGCGGCAGCAGTCGACTGTAAATGATGAGCCAGCAGGTCTGAATATTTATCCTCTTCCCTGCAGGAGACATTAACCAATAATCCTCCAGGGACATACTGCACTGCCACACACACACACACACACACACACACACACACACACACACACACACACACACACACACACACATGCACTCACACTCCATAAGGAGAAGTAGTTTCAATTGTGTTCTTTTCATTGCCACATAAAATAAAACTAATGTTGCTTTTTTTTTTTTTTTGGACACAAGATGAATGTGACTTCAGGGTTTAAATGTTTCAACATTCTTGAAATCACCCATGTACAGTATGATTCAATATTTATTGTGCCCCACATCATGACATCACTGGACATGGAAGCAAAATAAAACTGGAGGGCTCTTTAACTTTTGCTACCCAGCTCTCCTTTGGCTCATGCGTCCATTTAGCCTACTGTCCACGAGTGCAAAACCAGATCTCGAAGCTTTGCATTATCATTCAATTGGCACAAAATGCAGTGAGAAAAGAGGAAATGTAAAATTAGGCAAACAGAATCTGGGACTAAGAGGCAGGCGTTTGATGGCAGAAGACGGGTTGATCAATGGTTACCAGTGTTGTGAGAGCGCGAAATGAAAATGTGCTTCAACTTTTTGGTGGCTACAAACGATCTAACAATTACGAATATGGCCAGGCAAAGCTCAAACTGTTATTGTGTTTGCAATTTAACCCTTTCAGGGCCAGCGGTGACTACAGTGGACAGCTCATCATGTTATCAGGTTACAGGGTGTATAAAAGGGTTAAGGCACATAACATGGTACAGAAGTCAAATTCTGAAAAAAAGGTTGTCACTATGTTATGTTTTCCCAATGGTAAATAATAGTGTGTATTCAATATTGCATTCAAAATTCCACTTTTCCCCAGGAACAGAACTGTACTGTGCGAGCTGTTTCCGGCAGGGGCATATTACTTTCATCATTATTAATTAGGAAGGCATTTCCAAGTAGCCTAATAAGCACAATTGCCAAGTCATATTGAAGTTATTGTTACAATATGAAAAACAGAAACAAATGTGTTTGCTAAAATCCGTGTTTTATATTCATGTCGCATCCAGGTCATGTTATTGCGTAGATTGAAGTGGACCCTTGGGGCCCTATTTTCGAAAGCCGCGGCCGTGCGCTTGGCATAAAAACGGCTGGGCGTTGCGGCTGACGCGGCTGCCACACCCCTGGCGCATCTTGCAATTTGGTGACGAAAAGTAGATCTAATTTTATATTCGCAAAAAAATAAAAAATAAAAATAGGTCTAAATGGTAGCACACTTTGTGGAACATCATTTTGGTGGGTTCGATTGCGGTGCAGACAGGCAGCTTAAGTGCTCCATTGATGTGTGTTCGATGTCAGTGTAGAAATGCAGGGTGGCGTTAGGGCTGACGCGCCTGCCACACCCCTGGCGCATCTTGCAATTTGGTGACGAAAAGTAGATCTAATTTTATATTCGCAAAAATATAAAAAATAAAAATAGGTCTAAATGTTAGCACACTTTGTGGAACATAATTTTGGTGGGTTCGATTGCAGTGCGGACAGGCAGCTTAAGTGCTCCAATGATGTGTGTTCGATGTCAGTGTATTTCGTTCATAAATATGACAACAGAGTGAGACAATCCCTCTGGGTTATTTTACAAATCTATTCATTGAACGAATTATTATCATTATCATCCTAAGAATATTTAAATAGAACCGTGCAGCACAACTCCAAAGTGTGTTTTTGCAGCACTTTTCACACGACGTGTCAAAATAAAGTTCATTGTCTTTTTTAAATAAACTACACTGCTATTTTGTCATCTGTTGCTTAATTTTTTCATTTAAGTGTGGTGTATTTGCATTCTCATACAAATTTGTTCAGATAAATTCAGACCTTACTCAGCCATTACAGTAAAACGAAGGAGGCGACTACTGTGCCTATTAATGAGAAATATAAATACAACACCAATGATCAAAAATATGAAAAATAGCAAAACTGGCACAAAAAAAAAAAATCCCGGGGGCCCAGATATTGACCAATTAAAGGTTTAATAAATAATACTAATATCTGGCATGAAATTACTTTGGGGACAAGCACTAAACAATGTGCAAGTCCAAATGAATAATGGAGTAATAGACGCGTTGCAAGCCTGCAAGGAAATTGCATTTCGGTCTGAAGGTCATCTTCCTTTCAGTAACAAATGCCAACAGTGCCGAAACAACAGGAGGGGGGGAAAAAAACCAAATAAATACAAGCTGTTTAGCCGGGAAACACTGGACTGTAATACTTTTAGTTGATGATTCCCTTGAAAGCGGGTAATAGAATCCATTTCTCAGCAGGTCTTTGAAGGCGCCTCAGTGACGGTTGTCAAGAGGACGAGTGGCTTCATAAAACCAATTGCCAAAAGGGGCTGTGGTGATTTAAGATGAGCAGCATCGATCTTAGCTGTCTAAGCACAGACCTACAATTGACTGCGTCACATAAAACCGTTTCGAGTCTATTCAAGCTACGTACGTCTAAGTTTAGACCAGGCCACTGGCTTTAAGCATGACTCATGCTGTCAATACAGTAATGGGGAGAGAACAGCCATTGCAAGCTAATGAATTTTTTTTTCCTCCCTTTGTCTGGATCACACACGCACACACACGCACGCACGCACGCACGCACGCACGCACGCACACACACACACACACACACACACACACACACACACACACACACACGCACACACACACACACACACATTATAACCTGAGGCATTGTGTTGTTTCGTGTCCGATAACTATATAGTTCTTCTTGTGCTTGTGTAGGTGTTCACAGAGCATTCCGGCTTCCTCATGCATTCTCAAAAAAGTTTAATTGGGTTGAGATGGATCGATAAACAGAAGGAGAGATGGATAGATAGACAGATGACAGACAAAATTGCGTTCCACCACCTGCGCCGCAACTTACACTTGGTTCAGCTGGTGTAAAAGCCAGTCTATTTTCAGCCACCAACTTTTCAGATGCGCCGGGGGCGTGCAAAAGAAAATCAGTCCACCGAAAGCCCCGTATGGTGCATCGTGGTCTGCTAAATTCCCAAACACGGCACGAAAATCAAGATGCACAATGTAAAGTTAGGAAACTGAACTTCACAATCATGCTAATATTATGGACCGGGCACGTCAGATTGCATTGTTGCATTGAGGAAAGCACTTCCATTCAGTCTCCATCCAAACAGAGGTGCCGTCTCACTAACCCGAGTACAGTTGTTGGCCTTTGGCTCCAACTCCGTCACCTTGGTGATCTGCTTGAGGAAGTCGGACTCCTGCATTCCTGGCTGGGAGCCCCGCCTCTTGAACTGTGCCCTCGGATTTGCCAAGATCACTTGGAGGTTCACTGAAAAACCTGCGGCAAAGGAGAAAGGAGAGAGGGGAGAGAGGGAGCCAAGGTGGAACAAGGACAGAGGGAGGCGTGAAGAGGTGAGCCAGCGTGCATTCAAAGCCTCATTATGAGGCTATTATCATCACACCAGGTAATGATGATAGCACGCATTCATGTATCTAATGACTATGATATGGCTGATAAGAAATTAATTTACCACGGAGGTATGCAATTCCCCTGCGGTAATTTTATTATGGAGATGGAACGGTTTGGAAAGCTTCAGAAGCCTGATGACAATGCTGAGGTGAGCTTTAATAGTTTTCTAATGGACTGTCTGCAATACAATACAATCAACCTGGTTAAAAGTTGTTATAAATGCATGTGTGAGGGGTACTAACTATTTGACTTTTGAAATTACTTTGGAAGCATAAATTACTCAAAACAGTTGCTCCTAGGAACGCTCCATAAAAACGCAACGAACGCGTTCGTTTTCTGTTGTTTGATGTGAGACAAGAGTTTGTGAAATAAAGTGTTGCCAATTAGTACACACTGTACTTGCACAGTACAGAGGCATTTTCTTGTAAATATGAAATTATTTAAAATACATCTAGGCAGTGTTGTGCAGCATTTCATGCAGGAAGTCGTGGACTCGATTCCTGGTCAGTGTCCCAACAGGCGGCGGGTATAAAAACTGAGTGGGTTGTGCCGTGAAGGGCATTAAGGTGTAAAAACAAATAATGATGGGGCAAGCTAACAGTTGCAACATTGCACAAATTGTCAGAAAAATCACAAAAGCTCAACCGGCATGTCTACAAAGAGATGCTGCGTTGTTTGCTTTGTTCGGTGCCCAAATAGGCAAGAGATGCGGCAGGAACATTTGTGGCTCCTCCCAATGCTACGAGCATTTGTCAGTTCCGGACTGAGAAGAACAAAACACTTCATTAGGTTTTAAGTTAGATAGTTGCCAGGACTGGGCAATACGGCTGAATAATGTATCATGATATACAAGTATTACATATCAGGTGATAACGATAATTATAGACTGTTAGTGTTTTTAGACGATCTCCATGAAAAAAAAAAATGGCATGACTGAAGTTATTCAAAGTAAACTATAATGATAGTATACTAGAAAAATGATGGACACAGTTCTCGTCAAATGTGGTCTTAAGAATGGTCGTTAATGAGGATTGAGTACCATTGTTACCCTCCGCTTGGATGGCGATACTATTCTCTCCGCCTCAGCCAGCAGTTAAGTCTGAGTTTGCCAGCACTTTTACGAGCGTATTCAGTCATTTTTATTGACAGAAGCTCTTAAAATTCAAGACGCTGGCCTCTGAATATCTGACTGCCTCGAGTTGTTTTGAACATATAAAAATCTGTGCTCATCAGACCTCAATGAAAGCTGACTAACGCAGCTAATTGGCCCACAGCTCAGCGAGATCAACTTGTTTATTGCTTGTTTGCTGTTTGGGGAGCTGACATTACTCCAGAGAGTCGTCTCGTAACTGTACATCTTCAAGCTTATCTTGCGCTTAGTTACAATTGCGGGGTTGTTTTTTAGGGGGCGGGGGCGGGTTGTGCTCTGACTCTCTCCATTACATTTTTGAGTATTGAATCAACTGCAGCTTGATGGTATTGTGGCTAACATGTCTGATTCAAAGTTCCAATCTTGGTTTGAAAACCGGCTGTGGCCCTCCTGAGTGGAAATCAAATGTTCTCCCGGTACGTGTATCGGTTTTCCCCTGGTATTTCGCCTTCTTCACACATTCCGAAAAAGATACACTGGGTTAATTGTACACTCTAAATTACCCATCAGTATGAAAGGTTGTTAGTCTAAATGTCCCCTGAGACGGGCCAGCACTGAGTCCAGCGTATATCCCATATAGGAGGACAAGCAAGACTGAAAAATAATGCATGATTGATTCAATTGCTTATTCATTTGTCTCATGGTCTTTATACTGCAGGTTATTTACTCAGTACAGTATGTATTGGTGTGATCCTGCAGATTCTCTGTCCAAAAGCATAGCCTTGTCAGTTCGTCTTTCTAGTCTACCAAAGGCCCAGATACTGAAGTGTAAGGCAGATGTGCAAAGCAGTTGGCCACCGGATAATAACCCAAGTGATTATATGTGCCAAGGTCAATGGTTTGTGCGTGTTAGTCACCGTGCAGTTGTGTTGTGTTCGGCCACCTCGCTTGGTGTGCGGCGGGACTGGTGGGGACAACGCGACCAATTTTTTCGTCTCACTTCCATCCAGCCGTCCATAGTGTCTACAAATAGTGTAACAAATAGGAAAAAGGTGTACACGCTAATGCAGGGATGTCAAATGTGCAGTCAGTCCGCGGGCTGGATTAGGCCCACGAACCGGCCCGTGAGATGACTCGGTAAAGTATAAAAATAAGTACGGCCAGACTGGAGAAACGGTCTCCCCAAGATGTCACACAAACAAAATCTCTAAAATTATTGCACTACACTTTTACCATAATCTTGATTCTTTTTATTTGTATAGTTAAGTTAAACGAGTAATTCTGGAAGCCTTTCAATCATTGTGGCAAATTTGTTGATGTTTAAAAGCAATGCTCGGACAAGCAAAGCAAGTTGTACCAGAAATTGGCCTGGATGTTACTACGACTTTCAGTCATATCGTGCAAATAAAATCAAAGAGAAAGGTGTTAAATTTGACAGATATTCAACGACTCGTAACACAAACACATATGAGAAGGACTAACATTCTTCTAACTTCATAAATTGAATGCATTTCACCACACAATGCATTCTGAAAACCATAGAAATGCAAAATAGGTAGAAATGACACGCCTGAGCTTATGGCGACGTTAACGCTCGTACGGGGAAAAAGTTGCCACTCTTCATATTCGTGAATGTCACAAAAACATACAAACCAAAAAAAAAAAAAGTCCAGGATGCATTTTCTACAATGATAGCACACGCTTCGGCATTGACATAAGCAAGTTATGACCAAGTTTCAATGCACATGCATTGCCGTTGATGATTGCTGGCACCAATGTCTGTAAACTAGGCTGCTACTTATCATGGCAATTGAAGCGCTCGTGCATTTGTAACAAGCTAATAGCTTGCTGACCGCTGAAGTAATCAAAAGTGGGTCATTACACCGGTGTTGACATTAGCATTAGCATCTAGAGATTCACAATGGGAGGGGGTTGTAATCTGGGCCTGTTCCGGACATTCGGCTCAGTCTTATGGTTTTTTTTTTTTTTTTGTTTTTTTTAATTGCCTTCTTTTTAATTACAGTTTAGCACATGAAAGTATCGTTTTTGACATGATGTCATTATTTCTTCTGAGTGAGCTTTTCTTGTTCTTCTGTCATGTACATCAGTGGTCCCCAACCGTTTTTGTGCCATGGACCGGTTGAGACAGGTACATGCTGTTCGCGGACCGGCAACTGTTGTTTTTCTTTGTTGATTAAGATGGCCTGCAAATGGAAAAAATCGGTGTCACATTGACACCAATTGTTTGAAATTATATATCATGATTTTACCGCTCCGGCCCACTCGGGAATAGATTTTTTGTCCATGTGGGCCCTAAATTATAATGAGTTTGACGCCCCTGCTGTAGTGTATTGAGACGATGCAGCATGGTACATTATTTTTTAACATTAAGATAAATATTTGACTCCGCAGATGCAGTTCAGGCACTCTGAAACTGCCGCGGCTTGCTGTCAGACTCTAACATATACAAGAGTCCACTCTAGCTTCTGTTCATGTTAGAATCTAATTTGATACTCCACCGACAACCTTGAGATCATTCAATGGCCACAATCTAAAAAAAAAAAAAAAAAAAAAAAAAAAAAAAAAAAAAAACCCCTACGTGGTATTTCATTTT